CCCGCCCCTGACACACAAGCAGCGGTTTGGTTGGCTAGAGCTTGTACTGACATATGATTCGATTGGCTGACGCTTCTGCTGAGGCTTCAAAAGTTGAACATTGCTCAACTTTTGCAGCGAGCCACGCCAGCAAAGCTCCGCTTCGCTTCCCACAATGCAGTTCGGCAAAAAGTGACGTCACCCCATTCAAAGTGAATGGTGAAGCTTTCAACGCATGCCGCTGTGTGGACGGGCCGTAACAAACGCGATCTCGCTAAGCGGTCCTACGAAGCTGGTTATCAACCAGGGTTTCTCTGTCCGGCTGAGAGCGCGTTCACGTGAAAGGGACAGGGTTAGCAACATTTGACCAATCACAAACATGGAGAAGCGTGCTCACAGCGCAGCGTCATACTTCATGAATAAATAGCAAATCCTGCTTCGTAGTATACAGGCCACTCTCCATGAACCTTTAGGGGCTCCGTAAGAAAGAGATGCAAAACAAAACAAAAAAGGTTCAAGGTACAAAAAATGTAAAATAAATAAATTCTCAAATAGTCTCTGTCATGTAAAAAACGTTTCTGTTCCTACACCCTCTAGCGTACATTTTTCTTGAAAATAAAAGATTAGGTCATCATCATCAGCCTCATGTTCGTCATGTTTGAAACAAATGATTTTTTGTGTACATAACAACCAAAAAGATATAACTTTTACAATGACAACAAATAACAAGTATGAGTTCACAGTTCCTGCTCATAACCATTCATAGTAGTTTTAGTTTAGATAAACTTGTACAATATTTCAGCTCATCATTACTGTCAGATCAACACCTTCTGTTGTGATGAAATGAAGTTTGGAATTTGTTCGTGTGGATGGTTTAAAAAAAATGCAGTTTCCTCTCAACATGTGCATGCTCTCTCTCCGGTTTGGTTGTCCGTTGTTCTGTGCCTATAGAACGTAAAATGTTAGTCAACAGTTGTTGCATTTGACCTTTCTGACACTGTAAATGTCACACTGTTACCAGGCTAAAAATATAGTAAGATAAACCTTTGATTATCCACATAAGAAGAATTGCTTAGCAACACATGCACAGTAATGCACTTCAAGATGGTAAAGGCAGGGAGTGATAAAGAATGAATAGGCTCCAGGAAGTTGGTAATAACTTATACATTTCTTCCTTTAATGTGGTTGAGGATGTTAAAGCCACCATGGCAGAATATATAGTTACGTTACTGTTATGTTTTTTTGACTAGGATATGTTAGTAAGATGCTGGATGTGTGATGGATGGATATGAGATGCAGTCATTTGAACCTGCCCTCCATGAGTATATTTGGTATTTTTTCATGGAACAAGAGTCAGATGTAAGATATCTTTGCAGACTAAGTGGCCTAGGAACATACATGTACCCCATTGCTGGGATCTGAGTTGTTAGAGTCAATGGCTCCTGGTTTTGGGCCATCAAAGGCACTTTGGTCCAAGGCAATGATCTAACCAAGAGTTATCCCAGAAACTAGAACTCTTGCTTCCTCGTCCGGCTCAGAAAAGGAGATGCTGGATATCTTGGGCTTATAGCTTTGAGCTCTTTTTGGTACCTGATGCCTGTTGCACTAGCTCCCCATGTGGAGAAGCACTGCAGAGCCAAGCAGGAGCAGTTTTTTAACTTAAAGTCTATATTTAAGCAATTAAAAGCTGCACAATTATTGAGTCTTCAGATGGGGTCGTAAGCATTGTCCATAACCACCACAAACTCTGCACAGTGCTTCCATTTGACTCGTATTGACTCTTAGAGCTGGGTGTTGGTTTATCCTCTGGGTTTCGAAGTACAGGTACGATACGATAATACTTTAATGGTCAGATCAAGTCTGAAATTTGACTTGCATCACAGCAGCTCCATGTGTAACATCAACATAGACAGATATCAAGACACAATACATGAAAAAATAAACATTTAATATTCATAATCAGTGAGAGAAACCTGCTCAAAGACCCTTTAGCGTGCATTTGATCTGGATTCAGCTCTGTACTTACTGAGAGGATTGACTGGAGCACAAAGGATGCTTCAGTCTGACTTTATTGAATCTCCCATTAGATGGTAGCAGTTCATATTCTCTGTTCAGAACATGCTGTGGGTCCCAGATGATGTTGTTGGACAGCCTTACAGGTTATTATGGTATGCTGAGTCATAAAGTCTCTGACAGGGTTGACCAGATTTTTAACAGGTGGAGGTAAAAAGCCTGAAAGGAGGAAGAAGCCTCCACAAAAGTCTAGGACCCACCATGAATCAACCTCCTTCAGGGCTAGATGTACGAACTATGTGTCGAGTGCATTATGATTTCTGCAGTATATTAGAGGGCATTGGCACGCTGCCCTCAAGCCACATCATCTTTCAAACCTCTGGAACTAAACTCCCATTGTAGCAGGACACTCTCATTTCTCCTGAGTTTCCAATGGCCCCATGGTCCCAAAACCCAGGTGTAATTAATTAACTATGGTTGCATACCTTTTAGTTTTATCACTTCCAAGGTCCTTTATCTGTGCATGCTTGATCACTGCCATGAATTACTGGGGGGTTCGGGAGGAACAGCGTGCCTAATATGAACCTGATTGGTGTTTTGTCATGGGACTTTTTGTGCCCGTCATGCATTGTCGGCTACACCAGGGTCCAGAAAAAGGGGTTTATAAGAGGTAACAGTATCATAACATTAGGCTAAAGTTTAATGATTGACTTACTGCTCATCAGACCTGTTAAACACAAACAAGAACAAGGCCAACACACTCCCACCTCAGGAGGTATTTTTGCAGCACCCTGGAGGAGGAATAGGAACCAGAATCTGAGTGAGTGATGTTCAAAAGCATCTATTACGGAGGAAGTTGCTTGTTTTTCCAGAAATGCATTGATGCCTGTCGCAGCTCTAATTAAGGAAACTGCTAGTGCACACCGCCAGTGATGATACATAAAAAACAAACTGCTTATCTTACCTAGTTATTTTTTGTTGTCTTTTTGTTCTCTTCCAGCCTTTGAAGATTGTTGTTCCGTCTTATCTTTTTTAAATGGATGACTTTCGGCTCACCATATCAATGCACAACATCTTTTTTTGTCCAAATATTTTGAACATTAAGAAAAGATACAAGTGACCTCATGTTCAGATATGTTTTAGATGCGACATGATGAAATGGCAGCAATTGGAACAAGCCCCGACCTTCTGCTGTTTCACAAACAATGCTTCAACTTTTTATTTATTAATACACTTTAAGTGACACAATCCATTTGGTATTTGTTGTGATTTTCTGCAAGATGCTGGATCTCAGCCACCCTGATATGTAATAGACAAACAGAAGCTTTTAGTGAAATGAATTAAATAATCAGGTATCTTTTTAATCAAAATAAAACTGCAAATGATAATTTCAGCATCATAATAACTTCTGAAAATGTTTGTTTACCTGTCTGTGTGTGTGTGTGTGTGTGTGTGTGTGTGTGTGTGTGTGTGTGTGTGTGTGTGTGTGTGTGTGTGTGTGTGTGTGTGTGAGTGTGTGTGTGTGTGTCATTGTCTACCCTTACCTGCCATAACCGTTCCTCTGATTTTGACGTGTGGCTGTAGTATTTTTAGCATTTTGAAAATAAAAGGGTCCACTGACATCCTGCAGTACTATTTTTTAAGAAATCTGGATACTTGCTGCCCTTTGCTGCGTTTGAAAAACTCTCAAAATCAAAGGTGGACATTACTCAAAATAGATAAGATGATTTAAATGTAATTGTTCTCATGAAGTATCGACAACAGAACAAACCTATAACTTCTTGGTGCTATAGGTTCCGCCTTATGATTGACCAACCAGAATGTTTTGGATAATTCAATTCCCGGGTGGTTGACCAATCACAACACAGCCGGCCAGCTAACCAATCAGAGCAGACTGGGCTCTGGTTTCAGACAGAGGGTGAAAAGAGATGCAGTATGAGAAAAATCACCTGAAAATGAGCAGAATATGGTTATAAGTTTTGCATGAAGGGAAACAAAAAATGTACTCACTACTTGATTCTCTCCCAGGGGTGGAGCCAGTGGCGGACTGGCCATCGGGACGTTCGGGGCGAATCCCGATGGGCTGGTACTGAAGTGGGCCGGTCGGACGATGTGGGCCGGTCGGATAAGTCACAAGCACCCCCCCCCCCCCCGTCGACTATTTACTAGCGGTATGTACTTGCGGTATCGAGGTGGGCCGGTCGGATAAGTCACTAGCACCCACCGTCGACTACTTACTAGCGGTATTTACTTGCGGTACCGAGGTGGGCCGGCGGTACCGGAGTGGGCCGTTCGAGAGTCCCGGGCTGATTTTTAGTCCCAGTCCGCCCCTGGGTGGAGCATTATCAAAGGGTCCTTTCTGATAAAGTTATTTGACTGTAAAAAAGCTGATACATCTTCTCCTATAAACAAAAATAAAGCCAAGAGAGTCTGTCTAAGAAAACCTACAGTGAAGCTACTCTGTCAGAGGACAAAAAGAGACAACAGGTTTGAATAGTTTTGACGCCTTAGATTGATTTACAACACAAGGCATATTCGAATATAAAGTAGAAAAGACACACTCTTGAAGGATTGGGGTGGGGGCTCAGGACCTTAAAATGACTCTGGCCGGCCCTGCTAGTCTGAGATTTTGGGGGTAAATTAATCAGAACAACTTTTGAAATGCAAAAAAAACCAAAAACATATATGTGTTCAGTTAAGCATTAAAGGACATATTTTTGGAAGATTGGACACACACACAACACACACACACACACACACACACGCACACACACACACACACACACACACACACACACACACACACAGTAAAACACACGTCCCTACCCTACACTCCACAAACATCATAGCCTTAAAAGCATTTTAGTATTTTCTCCCCACTCTGAGTCAATGCAAAGGGCTGCAGAACGAAACACACATTCATTACAAAGAGCAGGATTCATCATAACTGCGAATGAAATGAATATGGTAAGCAGAGCCCTCCCTCTCTGCATCTCATTATCGTCCCGCTGCTGTAGGTGAAGCTGCTCTCTCTCTCTCTCCATACTGAAGCAGGTGTCCAACATGGCGAACACTGGCAGCAGCTCTCTGGCGACTATTCTCTTTTTATTCCTGTTTCAAGCGGCTCTTCTCAAAGGTAGGACTTTTGCTTTTTTAATTCCTACATGGAGAGCACACTTTCCTCTCAGATTTGCATGGATGGAGATGCAGGAGTGTTTTTTTATCAGCCTTTCTTTGAACGCGCGGCAGAGCCTTTGGGATGTAAAGATGTTGTTGGGGAAACCTAACTGTGCGTAAAGTTGAAATACAGAATAAATTGAGTTTATTATGTGGCTGCAGTGTCTACAAACAGGCGTTACAGATCTGCTGCCGAGGAACACATCACTTTGGTGGTCAGCTCTCTCCATAAATCGCTTTGCCGCTACACAGCTGGCAACTCTTGAATGTGGCCAATTCTGTTGTGAAGAAACAAATAACGTGATCTTTTGTGGCCCGTGAAGCTTAGAGACATGCATTTGGCTTGCTTTAGTGGCTTTTTGTATGGTCAGTCCTCTAGCTTGGTTACTTTTGTGGCATATTGTTCGTGGACTGCTGTAAATCACAGAAAACAGCGGTGCGTTAAAGTGGGATCTGCAGCAGCGTGCAGCTTCAGGAGACGTCACAGCAAACTCCATTCAAAACTCTGGGTATTTAAAGAATCGCCTCTAAGTCAGAGATTCATACAGGTTCAAACATAAGTCGAGAGTTATCAATAGTTCTGTTTCTTTTAGATAAATCGGCACAGAGACATATCCTGAATCAGCACTTTTAAATCTCAGTTTTATAGAATCTGTTCACATCGGCCATGCTGCTGGATTTCGGTGGGTTGACTGTAAACGGCGTTCAAACCTCTTATAAAAGTGGTTATTTTAAAGAAACACGATCCGTTTGGTGTTGTTTATATAAGCCGATTCGAAAAGCACCTTATATTGGTCAATAATATATCTTCCATTACCTCATAACATGTTTCCACGCTTGCTGGTACACAATATAAAGTTAAATATCATGAATTTCCAATCGGCTTCCGGGCTGTGTATTCGTGATGCTGGGTTCGCAGTAGCATCACGCGAAGAAACATCAACGGCTCTTGCGGGTGTAGTAACCTGACTCAGATTCATTTTAATAAGCGAAATGTTACACATAAAGCTCATAAGAGTGATAAACAAAAATATGGATATACAAGCTTTTAGGTTTTTGTAGTTTTGTGCTGATATTTGCGAGTTGGCGGGCTGCGGATCAGACTCGGATGGGATAAAGTGCTATGTTTCATGTCAGTGTGAAATCATCGTTAATAGGAGAAGTCGTAAACTAGTTCATTGGATTTGGTTTATTTATCTTTTTGCATATTGATTCGACAAAACATGTGGTGGAATAATAGTCGGGGCAACCGCATGCTGTAATAAACTAGAAACCTCGTACAAATAGGTTACACAATTATATAACTGCGATACAGTATAACTACTATAATATGGCTTTGTGTTGCACGGTTTCATCCTCCTGGTATATCACTTCCACTCAGTTATGTCACAAATGATCAGTTATTCAGCGTTTTTCTGCAAAATAAACCTGTTTTCTGCTGACTCCGTGCCTCTGATGGTGAGAATGACAGATTGTCACATTGTGGATTATCCACCAGGCTTAATCCAGTTTTTTTGCACATTAAAATGGATGCACTCCGGTTATATTTCATGTGAAAGTGAGTCAAACAGTTCCTATGAAGCCGGACCAGGGTTCTGCTGATCTTTGGAGTTTGGACAGTGGGCAGTGCTGCTGTTCTTTCATGGAAATGGCTCCACTGATTTCAAACAAAGCATATCAATTATTTACCTTCAGCATACTGTATAGGCTCACATTGTGCTAAGCTTTGCAGGATGGGTGTATTTTATATCCCAATACAAATAAATGGAAGTTAGTGCTACGAGTGACTGCATTAATTACATTTATCCCAACTATAAGGTCAGTTTTGGCACACATCACCTCGTATGGTCATCAAATCACACAAGTGCTGCAAATGAAAAGGATTTATGAGAAAGCATTTGCTGTTGCACTGCCGGCTCTTGTTTCAGGTGGCTCTGAATGTGATTTGTTTTATACGATTTATCAGTCGTTGGTTTATACAATATGAGCACGAGTCTTAAATGGTGCTTGTTATATTTCACACAATCCATTTCGATTTTAACTTAAGTGATATTTCTTCAGATGAAGGGCTCCAACTGAGCACTAAGCACATCTATTTTAGGATGAGAAAGAAGTCTAATATACATAACTGAAACTATAAAACAAAAACTGATATATTAATGATAACTGCAGCCCTATAGAATAAGTCTTAAAACCGATGAATGAGTTAGCATTTTGCACTTATTCTCCCTTATCTCAACGTTTTTGAATGTGTTTTTTTTGTTGTGGTTATTAGATTGACATAAGGACATGTTTACATCAGTAAATACCCCACTGGTGAATTTAAAACGGTGGTTGCTAACAAGTGTCTAAATGAGACGACTAAACGTCATCACGCCCAACATTAGCTGCCTTTAGCTTAGTGGTGGTGACGTGAAGTCATGTGACCGTGCTGTAGTTCCTTTTATAGCCCAACATTAGCCGCCTTTAGCTTAGCGGTGGTGACGTGAAGTCATGTGACCGTGCTGTAGTTCCTTTATAGCCCAACATTAGCCGCCTTTAGCTTAGCGGTGGTGACGTGAAGTCATGATACCGTGTTGTAGTTCCTTTTATAGCCCAACATTAGCCGCCTTTAGCTTAGCGGTGGTGACGTGAAGTCATGATACCGTGTTGTAGTTCCTTTTATAGCCCAACATTAGCCGCCTTTAGCTTAGCGGTGGTGACGTGAAGTCATGATACCGTGTTGTAGTTCCTTTATAGCCCAGCATTAGCCGCCTTTAGCTTAGCGGTGGTGACGTGAAGTCATGATACCGTGCTGTAGTTCCTTTTATAGCCCAACATTAGCCACCTTTAGCTTAGCGGTGGTGACGTGAAGTCATGATACCGTGTTGTAGTTCCTTTATAGCCCAGCATTAGCCGCCTTTAGCTTAGCGGTGGTGACGTGAAGTCATGATACCGTGCTGTAGTTCCTTTTATAGCCCAACATTAGCCACCTTTAGCTTAGCGGTGGTGACGTGAAGTCATGATACCGTGTTGTAGTTCCTTTATAGCCCAGCATTAGCCGCCTTTAGCTTAGCGGTGGTGACGTGAAGTCATGATACCGTGCTGTAGTTCCTTTTATAGCCCAACATTAGCCACCTTTAGCTTAGCGGTGGTGACGTGAAGTCATGATACCGTGTTGTAGTTCCTTTATAGCCCAGCATTAGCCGCCTTTAGCTTAGCGGTGGTGACGTGAAGTCATGATACCGTGCTGTAGTTCCTTTTATAGCCCAACATTAGCCGCCTTTAGCTTAGCGGTGTTGACGTGAAGTCATGTGAACAGGCTGTAATTCCTTTTATAGGCTAACGTCAGCTTTTCACTCCAGGTGAATGCATTTACGCTTCATGAAGTCATAAAGATGTGTTAATATCTGGAGATTTTCTGCAATATTCCAAAATCCAATGGCAAAGTCCTATTGGCTTTTAATGGAGGGAACCACGCAGATGCTGACTTCAGGGTCCACTTCAAAAATACTTCATCCCTGCACTACTCTATAGTTTTTTGACACCAGTAACCCAGCTCACACTGTCCGCTCCTCACAGCAGCAGCGAGCATTCTCATCTGTTTGCCATTACTGGTGTCATTTTCTGGTTGCTAACAAACGCCATTGTAACACATAATCACTGATGTTCCGCTGTAACGGTGGTGGACTCATCAGAACAGAGTGGGCGAGTTGACCAATCAGAGCACAGTGGGCTCACAGCAGGAGCTCCAACAAGGCGTGTAGGACAGAGAGTGAATACACATACTATACAGAGATGCTGTTTGAGAAACCAATGTGAGTTTGGAACATTGTACAATATAAATCTATTCTAGTAGACCTCAACAATGGAATCATGATCAGTAGAAATGGCCATGACATGGGACCTTTAATAATTCCAGATTCTGCACTTTAACTCCCGGGGAATGGAACTAGGTTTCAGGTGTTATTAATGGATGCCAGCGCAGCGACTCTGACCACAGGCTTGCTGAGACCTGAAAACTTGGCTAGCAGGTGAACAGATAAGCGTTTCTGCTTTCATTTTTGTGAGCTTGCGTAATGGTGAAGCAGAGCAGGGAAAAGTGTGCTGAAAGCAGGGAAAAGTGTATGTTGACATGACCGTGACAAGTTAATAAATGTAAGCGTATGGAGCTAAGCATTACCTTAGCTCTCTTTCAGTTTGCATGGCTCCTGTGTGTTTGATCTTGGGTACTGATTATGTTTCTTATCTGTGTTTCTGTGGATAAGAGCATCAGCTGTGTAGATTTCCAGCTTTCCCTGAGAATTCAACACGTTTCCCATTCATGCTTTCTGATGTTTGAGTGCAAACCATCATGCTTTCTGATGTTTCAGTGCAAACCATCATGCTTTCTGATGTTTGAGTGCAAACCATCATGCTTTCTGATGTTTGAGTGCAAACCATCATGCTTTCTCCAGACTGGAGTAAACGCATGCAGAAAGAACTAATTATTCTGTAGTGCTACAACATATGCTGAGTTAAGGCACATATGTTTATCTGCCGTTGTTGTCACCTTTTGTTGACTGAAAACAAGCATATTTTACATTTTGGCATACTTATATAATACTAAGTGTTATTTACACCTTAGGCATAATGCATTTTTTTGCAATGGTTATTTGGCTGAGTTTACTCTAGACCAAAAACAGGAATATTGTGGTATTAAACCTAATCAGAGAAAATCTATGATGGTAAACCAGAATAAAATGTAATGTCTGTATTCATAATTGAGTTGTATTGATTGACCTCCTTTACAAAATGGATCTCAGATGGGATTGTTTACTTCCAAACCTTTCCATGTGATGCCTTTTTAAGATTCAAAGTCCATGCTGCCTGCTTTTCCATTAATATACTTGAGCCTATAAGATATTTGTCGCTTCTTTCAGAAAATAAATAGTTATCAGTGTGCTCACTTTTTGTGTCTTGGAAATAACAGTGTTCAGT